TAATATTTTATTGTTGGTACAACGTTACGAACTAAACTTTCATCGGATCCAGCGTTCAAGTTTTACAGATTAGCCTGACTAATATTACTTATTAATTCTCATTTGCCGCGATTCGAATTTGTCACAAGAACACCAAGGTGCCTATTATTATATTTCATAATAATAAGAAAAAATTTTACAATCATAGAATCATTTCGTATTATACAACCCAATCTAAACATGTTGGTATCCAGCAATAATCTCCCAAAAGATCCAACGTGTAGTCGGATTTTGAAAGGCAAGATTTATCTTATAATATTAGATCGAATAATATTCCTGATAATGAGAAATCATTTGCACCACAATATTTCGTAAAATTCCTATCGTATTTTCCAATACTATACATTTCGATTGACAACGAATGAATTTGAAATACGATTACCAAGCCCGGATTAAGATGATATTGGACCTGAGGTCAAACAATTTTAGGGGTTTATAAACCTATTCAAAATATTGGTGTTTATACAGTAGTACCGGCCAAGACCAGGGGCCTACAAAATTACGATATCCAGGGGCCGGGGCCATGGCACCCCCCTTTTCCGGGCCTGACCATTCCAGATATTCGAACAATGCATGTTCAACACTTTTACAGGATAACAGTATGAATAATTCCCGTCTAAAGTCGACTGTACGAAGCGAAACGAAAACGCGCAAATAATAAACGGACAAATTCAAAAACGATGTCATGTAACAGTTACGTTGTAGCTGAATAGCGTGATGGACGTCAACACTCGACGATTTTAACAAAGTGCATAAAATATTATGTACGTTAAACATATAAATCACATTCCATAATATTTATAATTACACCGCCGAAAACCGTGTATTTATAAATCATACAATTGTGCATGTAATAATTTAAAATTATATTATTCTCTAAACAAATATAACAACAAACGATTTGTTATTGTGATACTGTAAAAACCATTTTAAACATTCACTGTCAAATGCAATAATTAAATTTAAAAAAATAAAATTAAAATAAAAACGCGGACCATATTTTTTCATCTACCTAAAACTGAATTTTTGTTTATTTGGTTTTTGTTTTTTTTTTTTTTTAATTGACAGAACAAAACGAAAAGTATGTTTTAAATTATATGATTCGGAAAGGTATTTCTACGTAATACGTCTTAGAAACAATTCCAGAAACTCGCGGCGACGACAGCAGAGTAATTGAAGAAAGTTTATGCTATTAAGATAAAAAAAAAAAAAAAATGAAAATGATATAAATTTGCTTTAACGTTGTTTTCAAGTTTAATTTTTTTTTTATTTTAATTTCAACTTTATGGTCGTTAGGTAATGGTTAATTTATTACAACGAACTTACTGATTTTTACATTTATTGTAATAATAATATATATTATAGTATTATTTTATTTCAGTTAAGAATTTTTTTTTTTAATTTTCTTTATATTTTAGGTAAACTCAATGATGTCATCTATAAATTAAAACTTTCAACACTTTTGTGGTATTTGTGGATCAATATTGAAATTTCATTTAAAAGTTTTTAAAACATTTGATCAAAATGACAAAAATAAATACATAATAATATAAGAACGATTTCTCGTAACATAAACTTTTGAACTTAATGGTTTAATAAATATATAGAAATTAATTAAAATGCATCGAATAATTATTATTGTATATTACTATACATAGCGGAAAATGAAATTTTTTTTTTTTATGATTTATAATTTGTAAACGACATTTGAATTAATTTGTCTACAACGTTACAATTTTATATAATAACTTTAACATCAAATATACCTTCTTTTTTTTTTACATCAAATGAAAATACTTAATAACATAATATGCATAGTTGAAATATTGCAGATTTTAGCTATTTAATAATATTTCATTTATTTTTTGACTAACGAATTCACGAACTATTTTATTTTCATACTACACGTATAAAAAAAAAACAAAAAAAAAAAATTTAAATAATTATTATTCATCAATCGATTCGTATTTATTGTAGGTACCTGCTACTATAATATAGTTTAAACAAATTAAAGATGTGACTAGTGTAGAGAGAACGTAATTATTACAATTAATTGTAATTTATTTGCATGTGATAAAAATTAAACAAATTGTGTAGGCTATATTATTTGGCTGTCAACAGTTTTTTTTGTAAATACTCGACAATTAACTTTCGGATCAGTAATAAGTACCTACATATTTGCCGTGAAAAGTTAACTCGATATTAAAAATTAAATTTTTATGCTAAACTACAACAATGAATAATAGGTATTTTCGACGCGATGGCACCTGTTGAGGGAGTTAATAATCTAAATTTTAAGTTTCACCGAGTTATTGAATCTAAAATTATGTGTAAATTTCATTCGGTTCTTATAATTAAATACTATTTTAACCGCCTCCTATCTAACCGTCCTCTCAAGTCTGTCATTGTAATACGCGCGTTCTCGATCATTCAAATCTATATGCAAATTCAATTGCGCGTATCCATTAAAATCGTGTTCTTTGTTTAGGGGCCTTTTAAATGAAATTATGATAATATCGTGATATTTAAATAGTGCTATTAAAACGGGTTAACGTTGAAGAACTCGTAAAGCAACGAAAAAAAAGATAAAATATAATACAAATTTAAAAAAAATGTATATACAAGGTATATATATATATGTTTATCATTAAAATGATTTAATTTAAATTCAAAGAAGTTTAATGATTTTCTAACGATACTGATTTTTTATATTTTACATACTATTCGTACGGCGATAATATTGTTATTTTGTCGATAAATCGACAAATAAGACAATATTTATTAAAACCTTTAGACGGCAGTTTCTTCCGATCAGTGTTTAGATATAAACAAATTGTATTGGTCAAAATAGTTAACATTGAGCAGATAAAATTATTCGAATACTATGTAAAAAACATGCATTTTAAAAAAATATGAGTTTTAAACCGCGCAAGCGTTAAGCTTTTCAAACTGTGTTTTTCGGTATCCTTTATTTTCGTAAAAAACAAGCCATTTCGATCCAAGTCCATCCGGCTAAAATATTTCGTGTAAACGTTTTGGTAAAACACACTATCCGTTTATTATTCCATAATATATTCATGTCCGTATATTTGATATACTATAATAGTATTTATTTCGAAACGAAAACTTTAAAATAGTTTGTCTGAAATAAATAACCGAATTAGGTTAGGTGTACTTTAAATATTTGTTTTAATTCATTAAAAACTGTGAATTATTATCGTATATATGTACATTTACGATAAATTGAAACTATTTTGGTGTACTTGTAGTTTTATATCCGAAATGAATGTAATAAATAAAACTTATTAAACACTAAAACGTATTAAATGTTAAGTCGATGATGACAATTAAAAAACGCGTTTGTATAAATTTCTCAACACACTATGATATCAGATAGTAGCAGGGCTATAGTGGAGGGTGTACGCCGTATACCTACTAATCATCACGAATAAACACCGTATACATTTTGGTTATGGTCGTATACTCTCTGTCATAGTTAAATAATAAAATATATTATGAAAATATTTATATTAATATTATTAAAATTATTATTTTCATTTTTGGTTGATTACGAAAACATAAATTATTTACTATTTATACCCTCTACCGAAACATTAGGTTAGACAATGCGCTTGAGGGCATTACACTTATGTAACTTATTACAGTCATAACTTATTGTAAATCCTCTAATTTTTTTTTTACGACTATAGCACTGGATAGTAGGTATACAAAAAGTATTATTTACATAATTCATATTTAACAGATATTGAATTGTGTTTTCTATTCTATGATTATTATCACAAACAATTCCTATCAATGTGGTAGAATAAAATTATACCTATTACTACATATACATATATATGTATTGAAAATGGATATTAATCGAATATTTGATTCAATTTATTTCGCGATAATGTCAAATAAAGGTAAACGTTTATAGATTTTAAATAATATTTGTAAATTTTGTTTTTAAAGGCAGTGTGAAAATAAAATACTACAAGTCAACATAAGTTGAGCTAGAAACTGAAAACTACAAATGATTGCGTTTAGTGTACTGCAGTTTTTATTATTATTTTAATATGCACGTTTCAATAAAACCCACAGATAGTAACGAATCGGTTTTTATTATTTTCATTATTTTTGTATTATTCTTTCTAATCCCCCCTCCGAAAAAATAAATAAATAACAATAATAACAAAAAAACGTTAGTCGTGGGAACCTATTTCAATAGAACTACTACATACTTCAAATAATTTGATTTTCATAAATTGCAATAAATTATATTACATGAGACAATAATATTTTTTACGACGGTCCACTTAAAGTATACCCACCTTTCATTTAAATAAAACTTTAGAAAAAACAAAAATATGAATATGATAAATACGCATATACATTATATAGGTATAATATACATTCAGGGTGATTTTTTTCATGAATTAGCAATTTTCTCGGACGATTTTAAGTGTATTTAATTTTTGTTTTTTCGTTTAATCATTATCCTTATTTGAGGGGTATGAAGTGGGGGAAAAACTTAAAAAATAGTTTTTAAATAAAGCTTAAGCGATTCCAAAATGATTAAAAAAACAGAAATCAAGCACATTCAAAATTCTCAGAGACGATTGCTGGTGCATGCGGTAAATTAAATCACTCTTTATATAAATGTTTCTAATAAATTCCCCAGCCTACCAGTGGAGTGTAAATTTTTTAGTATAAAACAATGCAGAGACGCCATTCGCGAAGAAATATTTAAAAAAAAAGTCGACGGATATTTCACCTCGACTCAATCGCACAAATCGCCATATTTTCCACGCCACGTGCCACGTTCGGAAAACCCCATTAAATCGCGCCGGAAACGATTGTGGTTGCCGAAATGTTTTATTCAACCACAGCCGCCCTGACTCTCCACCACACTCGCCCGACCCTGCAAATACCCACTCGAGTCGTTTTTCCGGACCAAATCGCTTTATTTCGGACGTGTACGGCCAAAACAATCGAGTCCATCAATATCTGCTATGCCGAGCTCTCCCTCCCCTGTACTGTTCGCCTGTCTCCCAATATTTCATATTACTATGTATATATATATTACTATTTTTATTATTATTATTATATAAGAACGTATAAATTATTTACGACCGTACGGGGCCGATTTTTCGATCGGGCGATCCTTCGATCTATACACGGCAACGGTGTCGTGGTGATTGCAGAGTCATCACGATAAGATGCGATGACTTAACCTACGAGATTCCCGGGGGAAGAATAAAAATTTGGTGGTGTTCTGCCGAAATCGTGTCTGTCACGTGACAGGCACCTGTATAGGAAACCGTGAAAGAATTTACACTTACGAAAATCGTCAAAAAGATGTTCACATATTGAACCAACGGTGCAATCGAGTTTCATTTTCAGGAAAGGGAAATGTTACAAATTACCGGAAATGTTTTCGGGATGATAAATTACTGAATGAGTGACGTATACGACGTATTCAAAATTACAAGGAAATTACTGAAAATACAATAACACAAACTTAAATGCGTAAATTAATATTCATATATAATTTAGTAAAAAAAAATACACAATTTCGGAGGGGAGATTATAATCCCTCCTCAATCCCCCTGGTTGCGTCGCTACATACAGCCGGCGAACTGTTGCTGGCAAGAGAGGAGGGTTCGGATAATTTCACAGCCGCTTTGTTCCCAACCTAGACCGTCGACGTAAGATTTGCATGTTCATATATATTTTTTTTACCGATTTTCGTGTACTCGGTGTTACCCTCCCGCCACCCCTTAAACGCGGCATATACCCAACGAGAGTTGTGCGTATACTGTTAGCGAATGACGTCGTTATTCATCTTCTCGTGTTTCTCATGTATTCGAACAATAACAAGTATGTAAAAACAAACATATACTCCGGCGTGTACGCTTCTAAAAAAATAAAAATATAACAGTAAATTTAACAGTAAAAAAAAAAAAAAGAAAAGAAAATAGAAACGCGACACGAGACAATCCAAGTCACTCGAATCTTTTTTCCCATTGTTTTCAGCCGTACAGTTAATAGTGTTCGCACGTCTTTTGTCATTTTTTTAACGAACATTAGAGGATTCTATTATTATTTTTATTTTTTTCATTCGCCAATAAATTTCATTATAATGCATCATGTGTTTTTTTTTATTGTAATATCCAATTATTGAATCCATTTTTCCCACGTTATTATTTTCAAATCTTGTTTTTGAACGAAATATTAAACCCTTTATATCAAAACTTTATAACGTCATTATTTTTTTGTTTAATTTATAAAAAACACCCCAACTCCTTATCACTAAATCCATGTTAAAAATGTTATAAATAATATTGCAAGCACCTGCATAAGGTATTCATTATTATAAAAAACTTATAATACACAGAGTAATTTTTTAAGCATGATCATCACATTTTTATGTTTAGACCATGGATAAATTCAAATTATAATTTTTGGAATTTTTATGTATAGTGGTATGTTCTCATATTTAGATTTTTCATAACACTACAGAAGTATTCTGTGGCATTATCAACTTAGATTTTTCAAAAGTCTAGGAGTTTTAATGCAAATTATCAATCAGATTATTTTCTGAAAATTTTGAAATATTGTAATAGAAATTTAAAGACAAAGTTGCCCTAACTTTAAATACTTACGAGGATCATAGAATACATCTGGTTTTTGATAATTTGAAAAATCAAAATACTTATAGATGTCCTTTTTTTAACTACACTTGAAAATTCCAAAACTTATAATCTGAATTGATGCATAATTTAACCATAAAAAGTCACTCTGTATACTCGGTATTTTCCCAATAAATTCAATACGTACTCACGTATTGCACATAAATATCACGTAATTGTAAGTACGTATATTATGTACAAAATAAAAAACTAAATAAAAAGTTGTTACTTACATCTGTGTTTGGGTCGCGTAGTGATGTGTCCGCCGTTATTAGGTACTTCTATTTATGAAACAAAAAAATAAAAAAAATCCTAGTTAAAAGACGTTTTCAAATAATATCGGGTTGATTAAATTTATATAGTAAAATAAAAAAGCTGGACAGTATTAACTAGTTAAAAAATTAAAAGTTAAATCATTTTTTAATTTGTTTAATGATTCTTAACTTAACTAGCTAATAAAAATAGAATGCTAGAAAACGACTTAGTTATTTATTTCAATAAATAATTTTAACAGTGTTATTTTAATAAAATGGAAGTAAGTTACACATTTGTTGAAGAAAAAAACTGCGTACTTACATATTTGTTATAATATATTTTTTCAAAAAAAAAATACAAATTCTTACGTGATCATCATTATCGTATCACAAACAAAAGCGAACGAATTTATAATTTTAAACTTATCTAAGTTATCGTTTTCCTGAAAATGTGTCACTCTAACAAATTAATCAACGTCATCTGTATTTAAAATTGACTACAACTTAACTCTGTTATTTTTATTTTAGGATAATTTAACTTAAACTAGTTAAAACAATTGGTGAACTTGTCTAGCTTTAATTTAATATAGAATGTTTAAACTCACATATAGCCTATACGAAATCTAGTCAACCCAAATCTAACGTAATTTAACTATAGGTACGTTTATAACAAAATCAAAAAATAAACACTTAAAATATAAGTATCTCGTTTCGTACCCTGCAGTTACCGTTATTACAATCAAATCGTCACGGATAACAATTTCGGAACGTTTATCGATAAATAAAAACACGAAAAAAAAATATCATTTCATAAATCTAATAACTATACATTGTTCGCCTTACGAACTCAAACAATTCAACAAAAAACCAACAATTTTGATAGGTACACCTATTATATTATATTGTTATATAAAAATCGGATATATTAAATTGGACAAAAATATTATTGTAAAAATGTACTAAGAAGACGTAAAAAAAAAATTTTAAACTACTACATACATGATAATAATATTCCATCATTTGTATTATAAAAAACAAAAATGTTACTTGTTATTTAGATAAACATCAACATAATACAAAACTATTTATATTGTTAATTTTAATAAAGCCGGACATAATTCAAACCATAAGTGGGATTATACGGTTGTAGTTTAGAAAGTTGAGAATGTACATATGATTAGTGAATTAATTAAAGTAACGATAAATCATTGCAATATAGAAAAAAAAAAAAGATTCTGAGAGGAACTCAGTAAACGAGTATACGAGATATAAATTTGTAGAATAAAGTATAACTAAGTATAGAATTTGTTGTGGTTTTTTTCTTTCTATTATAGTCCAGATAACCCAGAAATCAACTAAAATAAAACTCATATTTCGTTGCATTAATAATTGTTGTTAGTTCATATAGTTTTTTCGGACAAATTGTCGAGTTTTAGTTGTTAACCTTTGTTCATAAATCGGTTTATTATTTTTTTTTTTAAATTACCTTTTTTCCACGGTGCGTATTATTTATGGAAAAGGATAAAAAAAAAGGGCGATTTCAAAAAAACTTTTCAAATTATACGTCATTCGTATTTGAAAATCCCTGGGGGCATGTGATTTCTTCCCCATACCCATGCCAGTTATAGTTTTATAATTTGTTTTTATTTTTTACTGGTATTAATTAATGTCGCCAGTGTAAATTTTAATCGTACGTGTGTTATTATCGTTATTTTTATTCCAATGATACCTATGATGAGAGAGAACGGTCAAAGTTAACAACATAGAAAAACCATGGCTCGAATCTTATCAATTTCATACGAATTAGCAATATTCAAGTTATCGCAAATGGGAGGGGAAATATGGGGCACTCTGGCTTTTCAGAATTACATTGAGTAAATTATAAATCTAAAACGATTTCACTAGAGAAAAAGTTATCATTGAAAAACATGTCACCCCCTCGCTGGTCCCGTAGACAAATTACAGCTCTGCGAATTATCCCTATGGTCACCAGCAACTATATATACTCAACGATTACTAAAATTAATTTTTTAATAGGTAATTTTACAATTCTTAATTTTATGCATATTACAATTGTATTGACATTTATATGTGATAACCCACAATCCGCATGATTGAAGTACGCATTGAACTTAACGGATTAAGGTTGCGAAAAAACCGTAGTTTATTATTTGTATTATTTCGTTCCTAATTTTTTTTTTATTGTAATGGGGAAATACGTTTGCGCTCGGTTTCCTATATAATAAAATACAATCAATTTAGTTTAATTAGACATATTTCAATATTTTAAGTATCCACAGGTATAATTTGAATTTTTTATCTTACGATACCTTGTAGTTAAAAATTAACAACGGTAAATAATAAAAATCTTTAAAGTGTAATAATTGGAAAATATTTTTAAACGAAATCTCTTACTAAAAATATATAATATCAAATGTTTTTATTGGTATAGACGATCCCGGGAACCGACTATTTAAAGCATTTTAACCTTACTGGGAACTTTCTAATTTGGATCTTAAATCAACCTTAAATTTCTTTTGTGAACCCCAATTAAGTTAACCACTCCAACTACTACACCCACGACCAGAGATAAAAGAGTTCGTTGAAAATGTAGACTGTGGGCAATTCAACGATATAGTTCAAATTTAAAAACGACCAAATTAATAATTTCTTCGGTTTTTTTTTATTGTGTCGGTATTTTTTACCTTTGTATCATTGTCGTAAAGAATATGTTTTATCGTCATTGATGAAAGGATAAAAATAACCTGAGCGAAAATTGTTGAAAGTCGGTAAATTTGATTATTTTAATTTGTTTAAATTTTTAATCCCGAGACACCATCGAATTTGATAATCTGATTCGACCACTTCCGGTTTCAATTTTAAATTGTGTTACAACGTTGTTTGACAATGGTTTATTTTTGAAATTTCCATTTAATATTGCTGTATTCATAGCGAAAATAATTTTTGTCATAAGTATAGTAGACTTTATATTGGCAACAGCCTGTCGGATGATTATTAATTATTTATTATAAATATAAATATAATTAATTATAATAAGAATGAGATGTTTGGAATGTAGAATATAAAGGGGAATTTAGTTTATATATGTATGCAACATTAAGCAATTGCTAACGAAAGTGATTTCGACCGACCTAACTTAACCTAATTTAAGTTTCTTTTATAACATGTACGTAAATTTTCTGGTTTTTTTCATTTTTTATGAAAACCGCTAGAAAAAAAAAAGACCTCCTAAAAGTTTCATCACAGTCATATTACCTTTCAAAAAAAATACCACACTTGAAAATCTGA